GGAAAAAGAATGCTTCCCTCTTCCTACAAACAGGGGTCAAACTTCAAGAATATCAGGAACCTGTGCATTTTCTCTGGGTCTCCTTAACCACACTTTAAGTAAAAGAGTCTACCATTTCCATGACCAGTCAGTTTTCAAGCTCTTTGTTATTTTTGAAATCCTCAGTATACTAGGTGGGACTGGAGCAGATTTGGCAAGACAGGAAAACATGGGAAATCACTATTGAAGTACAAATGGAGGAGATAAAAACTGAGGCCCTTATTCTCAAAGGGAAAATCATGCCAACTTTTTAGTAAAATCTTTCCAGTATCCAAATTAGAGAAATTCTCTTTGATACAAAATTTGTTTACAAATATTCATTTGAGATATCCTTCATATACGTCTGAAACATTGCACTCTGGCACACCGTAAAGGGGAATGCCTTAAACATTCTTACATCAGAGCAGTGCAAGTCATGTGTGTGTTTGTGTGTCTGTATGTGTGTGTGTCCAGAATATCATGGTCTCTCATATATTAGATTATGAACTTACTACATCTTTATAAATGATTTTGTTCAAAACTTCTTTATTGATTACATTTATAGGCACCTGGAATTGTGGTTGTAATAATGAGAATACATTCTAATAGTGTCTTAAAAAATTCAGTACCTTTTACAGAAATAAATCAATTCTCTGGGATTATTTTTGAAGTAGAAAGTAAGCACTGCCTCCAGTTTTTAAGTGAGTATGACAAGGACTCTGAAGCTGACAGATTAACTCAAGACCATAGAGTGGTAGAGAAAAGGAGGAAATGATTTGGGTGCATGTTGGCCATTTCTCCACATTCTTTGTGGAAGCATTGGATGACACACAGGAAAATAAGAATAAAAATCATCAGGTGTCTCAACAGAGGCAGCAGTTTCTGTTTATTCTATACCATTAGGGTGGTTATATGGATGTATTTCTGTGAGAAAATAGCAGTCATCAGCCTCCCTCTTAGATTGGCTTGTGAGAGAGGCTGACACCATTGCCGCTTGTGCCATTCTCTTAGGAAGAATATGATTAAGGTGAGACAAAACTTTCATATTCCTAGCCAGGTAGGATCACAGTGTGGCTCTGATAATAACCTAGTACTGCGAATTCAGCAGTGCTCCTTGTGGGTAGCTCCTAGGAATACTGTGGTGGGTATATCACCTTCCTCACCTTTAAGTATGCTAGCAGCTGAGAGGGCAAATATATAAAGAAACATGCCTAATGCAATATAGGCAATGTGGTGATGAATATTCAGTGGGGTTTTTTTTTATTGTTTCTTGTTCATTGTTTTGAGAGCAAACTGCTGGCATGAAATAGGAAAGGATCTTGGAGGAGGTAATAGCTAATCTCTCGAGTGAAAGCCAAGTCATGCAAGGGAGAATTACTAGCAGCCAGGGAGGATGGACAAGTCTGAAGACAAGGGTAGGTTGCAGGGCTAAATGAGACTATACTACATGAAATTTTCCACTATTAATGGAGCACAAATATGATTATAATAAGTGAAATTTATCCAACACTTTAATCATTTTAACCAAATTTTTCTGAAGCCATATTACTAGCTATAGTAGTAATCAATTTGCACTAAAAACCTTTTCAGTTCATTCTTTTGTAATTTAAATAATACATACGCAGTATAAAAGTTTCAGGAAAAAGTAGACATGTAAACAAACACAAGTCAAATATATGTTACAGGAGTAAATTTTATTTTGCAAATGCAGTCAGCTTGGGACTTACAGCAGAATAATTATTCTAGTTACAATTACATTAACAGGAAATAACAAAACATCATTATCGAATCACAAGGAAATTGCTAGTACTTTCTGTCTTATTTCTCTATATAGCCAGAAATATTTCAATATAATACTATTTAATATCACAAATAGGTAAAAGTATTAAACCAAATTCAGTTTGCTTTCCTTTAATCTCAGTAGAGTCTAGGAATAGTTGATAGGGAAAAAAGATAATTATGAGCATAAATCAGTATAAACCACCTTTAATATTCTCTTTAAACTACTTGACCATAATTTAACATATGATATTTGAAGTAGAACAGGTTACAAAGGATGGACATTATTTTTTAAAATCCATGTATTCAGAGAGATTTATAACAAAATTGACCTGAGAATTCATCCCCTTAGCCACTCAGATTTTTCAGATTTATTCTTCAAAGACCATTATATCTAGGCATTTTAAAAAATTGCCATCTCTACTCCACTTATGTTTATGATCTTTGGCAAGTCTTCACTTCTTAATCATTTCTCTGGATACTGAACGGATACAACAATATATATTCTTTTTCTCACAGGAATGTTTTCTTGGAGTCTGAAATATAATTTGTAACTCCCTTAATATATTTTCTCCTGTATAACAAAAGGATAGTGTTGCATCTATATTACATGCAAATATCGTTTTTTATTTGAAATAAACATTTTGAACAAGATTCAAAACAGGTAGCAAATGCTTTATTTTATTTTCCATGTATTTATGCCCTATTTTATTCTAAAATGAATCCAAGGCAGCTTTTTGAAATGCATATAATAACATAATAATGTATGTGAGAAAACCTAAACAAAGGTGTAATAAGAATTAGAAACTCAAAAAGTCTTCACAGGATTGCATATTAAGAGATATTTTGCTGGAGATTGATCACAAATTTGGTTCTAAGCTCTCAACTAATTCAGAAGAGAACTCTGCATTCATGATGAACAGAGATCTTTCAGAATAGAAAACCCAAGTTAGCCACAGAAACACTGATTTCTAGCATTGAGACCAAAGAGTTTGTACCCTGATGTTCATTACTCAATTCTGTAGAGAATAATAAATGTAATAACAAAATAGAACCAAGTGTCAAGTGTCAGTGAACTTATTGTTAGTTCCACAGTAACTAAGACATAGGCACATCAAAGTACAGTTTGCAATTGGACAGAATACATAATATGTTCTTGAGTCTTTATTGAGTAATTGCATTTATCTGAAACCAGTAAATGACTCTTTCTTACACCAAGTTTTGGATACATGTTAAATGGCAAAAATCTAATGATAACAATTAAGAGGTGAACATTTGATTTAAACAGTTAACCTGAAACTCTGTAGAATTACCACAGTCCATAAACCAAGGGCTGAAGTGACCCAGGCATTTTTAAGGTCTCTATATTAGGCTGTCACCGCTGCTGCAGTGAGCTCAGGGTTAAATAAGACTTTTTCACATCTGTCTACATCAAAGTGTTTTTTGAAGTGCTTCAGTGAACATTTATCTCAGTAATTATTAAGATATTTGAAACTTGCATTGCAGTAGAAGAGGATGGATTCTAAAACAGAACCTCTGTAACCTAGAGAGCTTATAATTTCAGTGAAAGATATCATTGGTATTAAATGGCACTTCTGAAGGTTAAAGGAAATTGTTTTATTTTTCTTGATTGAAGCCATGTTAGTAAATGTCCTAAGAAATGTATTCAAAGTAGTGTGTAACACTATTGTACTGTTTTGTAATTGCCACGTGTAACTTAAAATGTGAGTTTTATCAGCTGGGTTTATAAGTACAAATATATTGCAATCTTAATCCTGTTTCCTTTACATTTTCATGTGTGTATATCTGCTTCAGAAAGTTCAATCTAGAAGAGGGTGTTGATGTAAAAAGAAGAAAAAAGGTTACTTTAAAGGAAATGAGATAATAGGTTATTCTGAGCCACATAGGAGTGAGTGACCATAGCCCAGGAATATTGATTCAAGTTGCTCTAAATGGAATGTTCCACGTTGAGGAGGTTACATGAGCTTCTATAGTCACAGAACAAAAGAAAGTAATAATATAATCTAGCACTTTCATGGGTAGGAGGATCAGGTAGGTAGGCTACAGCAAAGCAGAGGAAAATTATTCTATAAGATTCAAATGTTGTCTTACAGCATTCTTAGCCTTAGGATTGATAGAGGCTGGAGGTCTGCTAAACTTAGTGATACATTCCCAGAGTATCTATTAGTCACAAGAATATTAAGCCAAATACAAAAATTAGGGTACATGGCTATTAAGGGGCTTAGGATGGCTCACAATAATTTTGGTGAGAGATCTATAATATTCCATCTTCCCAGTCACAGCCAAGAGCAAGCAGTCTGCAGGATGCAGCTTCTTCAGGAGAACTTAAATTCACAAATTCAGAGTGATATTAATGTAAAGAAGAATGTCTCATATAAAGTATTATGATGTATTTAGAAAAGATTTTAGATAAGGGAGAATTGGGAGGCTGGATATCAAAAGGATTTGTATCCCAAAAACGTTTTGAACACATTTTCTTATGGCAGAAACTCTACTAAAATTAATAGCAACTATTTTTTTCCCACCCAAATCTCATCTTTAGAAATCGTATTTCAGCTGGCTAAACACAATTTATCTTTTGCTTATTACTGGTCATCAGGTGTTTGGAAGGGTCATTGCTTTTCAGTGATTCATAACTAAACACTAAGCCTGGGTAAAGGTTTGCAGGAATGTCAGTTTATATGACAACGAATGGCTTGTTTTTGTGAAACAAATAGCTGAGCATGAAGTTTATGTTACAAACAGCTACTAGTAACATCCTTATGTTTGTTACTTTACTCTTACCCTCTACATCTTCTTTCTTTCACCATTGCACCGATACCAGCATTTGCATTAATTTCTCAGTAGTTTGGGTAAAACTTAATGAAATAAGTATTTAGATAAGGTAAATGTCATGTTTTTGAAGTATGAGTTATTAAATCAAATGTACCTATTTGAAATATTAATTTTGGTGGGTAAGTTAAATATTTGAATATTGATAAAATAGAATTGTGTACTCATAATTTTGGTTAACGAAAGAACAATTACATTATATATTGGTCTCTTAAAATATGAACATTATATTCATAAAGATATTGACCTTTCTTCATAATGATTAAATTATACCTTTCTAAAAAGCTTTAACTTATAACTGACAAATGTATGAATTTAATAGTTCATGCTTTTTTTCTCCTTAATTCTAGTCATGATTTCATTGGGGAATTTACAACAAGCTATAGGGAACTTTCTAGAGGACAGTCGCAATTCAATGTGTATGAGGTAAGAGACATTTTACTTCTGTTTTTGTCTACAGTAAGTTTAGCATGGGGGTATAGTTCATTGGTAGAGTCCTTGCTAGATGTATGAGATAGAATAAGCCAATTTATGATTTAAAATATGGCTTTTGCAAAGGATGACAACCGACGATTGGCTAAGTTCCCTCTCTCTGCACCTCTTTGTCTCTCATATCAATAGAGGAATATAGGAATTTTAAAATTTATTGAGCTAACTTGTTTCTTAGAATAAATGATATTATTTGCCTTCAGAGTTATATAGTGTTTTAAATCTATTTTGAGAGATTGTTAATTCTTGCCTATGAAACTTTTTCTTACTTAAAAATTCAATATGGATTCATGGTTATTTTTTCTTAAGGGTCAGCCTCTGTCTTTGGTTTCTTGCCAACCTATCCCCCACCTGCTTCCTAATTAAAAGAAAAAAAAAGAAGAAAACATGTATTTCACTTGTGTCAGTATGGGTTATTTTAAATAAACTGTGGTCTGAGCACTTTCACTATTATTTAGATAGAGGCTGAAGAGACTGACAGGGTAATATGCAATCATTAGAGAAATTTAAGTTATTAAAGCAAACACACACACACACACACACACACACACTGTAGTTATTTCTGCCTTAAAGCACCTTGCTAGTTAATCACTAGATATGTATTGAGCATGTATTATATTTTAGCATGTTAACCTTGGAGCTACATTATCTGTATATTCTTTATAGCTTTTTAAATTAATGTATATGCATAGCAAAAGAGAATGTCTTAATATTTAATCAGTGATGGGAATTCTTCCCTGCCAGTTTGACGCAAAAATTGTCCAGAAAGTGAAGGAATCTCCGATTCTGCCACCTTCTTACTGGGCTAAAGTAGTTGTACTCCATTCACACATCATCATTCATTCATTCTCTTATTAAAATATTTATTAGGTGTCTTCTGTACTCCATGTTCTTTGTATCCCCAGAGGGGATACAGAGATGTTTAAAAATTTGAGTATGTCATGGAAGAGAGAAACATGTCAAATGTATTTAGTGTAGCTTGTAGGGTGGTCTGTGCTCTGAACAGTAGTATACTTACTAAGCTATGCAATTATTACAGCAGGACCAATCTCAGCCCGAGAAAGCTTCTCAAAGACAAAGATAGAGTAATAAATCAATCTCTTCTATCTGGGTTTTTCAAGGAATAAATATCAAAACTCTAAACAGATGATGAAAGAAAATAAGACAGTTTGTAAATATGTAAATGCTTGCTTCCTTCACCTGTCCTCAAGGCTGAGGAGAAACACAGAATCGTATCAGTTCTCCTTGCTCTTAGGGGTCATCTGTGCTAATCTTCACATGACCCTATAGAGGTCAATCACTTTGATCATCCTTAGCTTGTATAAAATTTTCTAATTTTTGCTTTCAGTCAGTTCCTGTTCTCTCTTGTCCAGTAAACCTTGCTTAATGAGGATACTGGTGCCACATGCCACACCTGATAGGATAACAAAGATGGTTAATAATGATAGTTCTCTATTATTTGTGCCATAACTTCAAAAGTGAATGTCTTCTTAATACAGATAATTACCAAGAGACAACATCAGTCTGAAGAAAATTGGGTGGGGGTAATTATTATGTATTATGAACAAGAAGTTTAGGATTTCAGTGGACAGTGCCCCAATACACTGGAAATATCATTTTCTACACTCATGATCTTGGCAGCAATCAAAGTGTTTTTCAGCAATTATTTCTTCCAGTAGTCTTTCTGCTCCATTCTCCCTCCCCTTTCTTTATTACGTATATGTTATTTGTCCTCATAGTGTCTCACGGGTATCTTAGGTTTTGTTTAGTTTTCTTTCTTTTTTCTTTTTGTTCCTCAAGCTGCAGAATCTCAGTTGACCGATCTTCAAGTTTACTAATTATTTCTTATTCCCCCTCAAATGTTCTATTGAGCTCTCTTTTGTATTTTCCATTATAGTTATTGTGATTTTCAAGTTGAGAATTTTTATCTGGCACTTTTTTTGTGTGTCAGTGCACTTATTGATGGTTTCTGTTTGTTAAGACACTGTACTTTACGTCTTTGTGCTTGGTCTCTTTTAATTTTTTGAACCTATGTATAATAGGTGATTCAAAGCCCCCACTTTCTTTGCCCATTTTGTCCTGATATATCAGAATGCCTGAAGACTACTTATTTTCAAATGATAGTTTCAACAACCATCTCTGACCAAAAAAGCTTAACTAAACCAAAACGAGTAATTTATAAGGAACAGAAATTTAATTCTCATCATTCTAGGGACTGGAAAGGCCAAGATCAAGGCATCGCCAGCTGGTGAGGGAGTCTTCATATGTAGGAAAGTGCAAAGCAAGGGAGAAATAGCTCCTGTTTGATGCCCTTTATAGGGACATCTAATTCCACTGACCAGGAGGAGCGTTCTCAGGGCTAAATCATCTCTTGAAGACCTCCCTTCATACTGTCACACTGACAAAAACTTGAAATTTGGAAGGGACGATTTAAACCGTGGGACCCGTCTTTCCCAGAGTTTGTGTTTGTTTAGTGACTTTCTTGGACTAATCCTCTGAAGTATGGATTATTTGTTGTGTGAGCTATTGACATCTTTGCTTCAGTAGCTTAGTGATCAGTATGAGATTTGTCATAATTTCCCTGTGCACCCCAATGGTGTAAAATTCTGCCTTAGCTTTCACTCTCGATTTGAGCAGAGACCTGAGGTCACCCAGAGATAAGGGATTAGGGCTACCTCAGGTCTTTCCCGTACACGTGTGCACCCTTCACAAGTACATGGCTTTCTAGATCCTCAACAACAAGCTAGAGCTATTCAAAGCCCTCTGGGACATCTCATTCCCCAGATCTTCTCTTTTGATTTTGTGTCAGCCTTTTACTTACCCAAATTTGTACCATCTCCTCTAAAGATATGATGTGTAACAATTGCCACTATTTTCAATAAATGCCTTAGAGTTTGGGCTTTTTCCACTGAACAAGGTTTGAATCAGGTCAAATAAAGACAAATCCAACCCACATTAATGGAACTTCTCCAGAGAATTTTCAAATAAGTCAGTTAATGATAGTTATCTGAAATAGGCACATTTTGATGAACTCCATACCCTTTCTGTTCCCTTCTGTGGCTTTTAGATTTCTCTTTTTCACAGCTAATATGGATGCAAGGCTGGCTTGTTTCCAGTGCTACAGAGGTAAAGAAAATAAGATTGGATAGGTCAAGATAAGTGCATAAAGTAAGATTCACACTTTTTCTTCCAGGAATGATCCTCAGGATTGCTACAAGCCCTTGAGCTTTTTTTGATTTTTGAAGGAAATTTGTTTTTGACATTTTTTTGTTCTTAACTGTCTTTTCTGTGGTTCTGAGGTTCTTACTCCCAAGGTTCTGAGGTTCTTTCTGAGATTCTTATTCCTCCATTCTAAAAGTGATTCCCTCTATATTTTTAGTGTTATAGATAATAAGTGCTACCATTCTGTATATGATCACCATTGACTGTTATATGAAGTGCTTTTTGTTGATTGAAACTGTCCTATGTGATCAGATAACAAATCATTAGGTTATCTAATAATAAAATTATATAACTTGAGATAACTTCTCTGACTGTAGTAATGATAATATTCTAGAAACCAAAGAAATTAATATGAACTATTTGAAAAATGTTTATGAAATTGTACTGCAATTTCACTCCTAAAATCCAGGAAAATCTTTCTTTTCCAAATGAAAGACTTAACATTGGATGGATGACTTTAGATAGCAACATGCTAAATACAAATTTTCAGAAAATATACCACTGAGCTTACTTTTTAAATTTTGATTTAATTTTTGTTATTCCTGGTTTCTCACATATTCTTAATTATTTTTGCTTCCCCAATAATTTTGAGGAACTGTTGAATTCCTCAAAATTCAGTATCAAACCTGACCTTTCTTCCCCAAGCAACTTCTCCATTGTTAATAGTATAATTTGAACTATTTACGTAATCTGAAAAATGTGTCTTATTGCTGAAGATGGCCCACATGCTGACCATTGTATGTTTCCCATATAAAATATGCTCAATCAGAATTTTCTGAAATTAATAATATAATTGTTATATTGAATGACTTACTAGATGCGTCATCAGTTTCCACCTTGTTTTCCACCTATACCTATCAAATCAAGCTTATGTCCCCAGTTCTTCTCATGAGTCATTACCAATGGCACTAGCTTATTTAATATTTCATTATTTTTACATACTTGGTTTAAGGTAGGACCTTAACTGTTACCTCCACTTGCTCTCCTTGAAACTCTGTCTGGCAGGTTGGTTATTTCATTGCCCCATTTAAACATCACTGAGTCACACCCAAACTCCCTAGCCTAGAATTGAGAAATTTCTTAATATAACTTCAGCCCACCTTTTAATCTCTTTCTGTGTACTTTCTACACCAACTAACCTGGACGTTGCTTTTTCCTTTTTTCCACAATGCTGTATTATTTATTAAAAGTTTAGTTTAAATCAATAAATCCTAGTTCAAGTAATGCTTATTCATAAATTCTTTCATCTTTCCCTGTCAAATGGTTCCTCCATGTTTTGGATTAAGATGAGCTGAAGAATTATCTCAAGGCACTTCCATATTTAATTCACCATGTTAGATTGACAAGTCTTGCTCATCTTACAGTCCTATATCCCCCAGTGTCTTGCGCAATGTAGGATTGTAATAATAGTTCCTCAAGGAACAAGTGGTGAAAACTTCGGTCTTAGGCACACAAATGTGACCTTATCAATTAGTATTAGCATTGGGTGGAAATTTCTAGCATTATAAAGCAGTACTGAGGTCAATAGGTCCCTTAAATATTCACACACTGGGTGATTTGCTGTATTAGTGTATTTAATCTAATAAATAAAATTTATATCTCTCAAATATACTTTTCTTTAGAAATCTATGATTTTTCTGCAAAGCAATGATTATTATTTAGGATTTTGGATGTCAGTGGTCTCTCAGATGAAGAACATGCTGATGGTAATAGGTAATCAGTCCTGAAGTGATTGATAAGAATATTACTGCTTTTTAAAAAGTAGGTACCAGGAACTTTTGCAGAGAAGTTTGGCCAAATGATCATGTAGGAGTCATACTGACTGGGGCCAGTGGTAAATGGTCACAATCATAAGAAGAGAAGGCAGCAAGTTGAACTGCATTATTGAAAAATTACACTGTAAAATCTAACTTTGTAACTGTTCTATTTGGTTTTTAAGGTGGTGAATCCTAAAAAGAAAGGAAAAAAGAAAAAATATATTAATTCTGGAACAGTAAGTCAAAATTTATAGTATTCAGTAAGGATCAAATTAATGAAGTACGTGTATACATTTTAATGAGACTAGAAACAACTAAACAATTAGTTTTGTTTCATCTAGGATTTTAATATGAATGATTCTAATAGAAATATTAGCTTAGGTGAGTTTGCATCTTTCCTGCTTTCCCGGGGTTTATAAGGACCTATAGTTTTCTTATGAACTCTTCATCCCATGGAATCAGAGTTCAGAGACTTAGGGAGACATGAAATTGCTTAAGTGGTAGTAAGATGTGATATTCTTCGTAGGCCGCACTTAACCACTAGGACTCATTTCATGGGATGTGAAAATGCTCTTAAAGTGCATTAAGATTTATGGAATGCCATCCTAAGTCAGTACAGGAGGGGCAGAGAGGAAAATATCTAAAATTGTGAAAAACCAGTATCATCCTATTTTGAGAAATAAATATCCTAAAGTAAATATCCTTAGTAAAATCTATGTTTTCATCATTTCCTTTTAAAGATTTTTATAAAGCAAGTCACTTGGTATATTAGATGGCCTTATTACAGAACGATGTCAAAAGCACACAGTTCTTCTTGTATGGCTTAGCTCACTGATTACAGGGTTTTTTTAAACTTTTAACCATTTTCCACCTCCCTTTCATCTTTCCTTTTATCTAAAATGGAAAATAACACTGTGTCCTTGTAGTTACTTTTTATGTTGTTCTTCAAAGAAAGTAAACTGGTCCCAAAACATAGTTCATTTATTATCATCATCATCATCATCACCATCATTATTTTGGTACCTTTCCTTCTGGTAACTTTAAGTGTAGGAACAATCAGTCCTAGCAGATTTTAATAAAGAATAATGTCTTCAGTGATATTCAAAATGCTAGGAAATATTTTCTCTCTAATAGAAAAAACTCCATTTGGGTTAAAATTGTACCAACATGTAATTCTGTTTCTCCCTCTTTACTTCTTTTTTTCAGGTAACTTTGCTCTCTTTCTTGGTGGAGACAGAAGTTTCTTTCCTTGACTACATTAAGGGAGGGTAAGTCACACTGTGAAATTTTTTCATTCTTTAAGCATTTCTTTGAACGTATATAGCAAATGGCAGTACAAGGAACCCAAGGTGCTGTCGGTCACCTTTCTGTATTTTGAAGGTATATCTACTCTACTTTGTTTCAGTTTTAAGCAAAAAAAAAACCAAAAAACAAATCCTTGTGTACCAAAGGCTTTGCTTTTGGTACAAATTATAACCAATCTCTAGCAAGAGAAAAAAAGTATTATATCATTAATAGTGGTAGATAAAGGTATAATGTACACTCTTATAGAATGTTTTCATTTGTCAAACACTTGAGACTTCTTAGAGGTACTTTTTATTCCTTTGAAAATAGTAGAAAAGCTTGAGGGCTTGAGTTAAATGTATATCAGAACAAAACCATAATGCAGAAATGTATGATGGTGAATATCATTTACTCGCTTTGTTGGCTCACAGGTAAAAATACATTTCAGAAAAAAAATGTTTGTGGTAGTCATTTTTAGAATTGTCCTGTGTCCAGACAAATCCTGTACTGGTAATGTCTTATAGACTCTTAGAACTTGGCCAAAATTTGAAGCAGTACCAATTGGCTCACAGCATATTCTGATTTGTTTGGTTTTATCTTACAATACAAATATTTATTTGTTTTTATTTTGTATTTATAATACACAGAAATGGTGGCAGGCAAATTTGACTGTTTAGTAATATCTTGAAGAGTAATAGTCAGAGATGTGACTCATGAAAACGTTTCCCTGATTGTGATTCATCATTTTTTTTTGCCAGTACTGATCCTTTGATAGAATGTCATCAGGCCCCAGAAATGGATAAGAACATGAGGATACCAAAGGCTGAAATAGTTCCCCTTCCCCTAAACAGTAGAGAGCTTGCTCCTTTTAAAATTTTTTGTTAAGGAAATGCAATATGCAAAAAACAATACCTGTAAAAATGGGAAGTCTATGGTATGCACAGGTATCTTTCAGTCTGCTACCTGAGGAAATGGTGGTTGTTTCAATAGAGTTGAAGGAAAAAGCACTAAGTAGAAAAAAATGTTTACCAACTCTTCTTTTATTCCAATATCTGTGCATATATGTGTTATTAGAAGATGGAAAAATAAAAAATTGAATTTTGCATACTGAATTTTACTGTATAGATAAAACTCTGTGATGGCTATAGATAATAAAATAGGATGAGACAAAAGACATCTTTTACCATACTCTTTATAAACTTAAAAAATTCTTAATATATCTGGCTATATTTTGCATGTTGAAATACTGAAGTTTTGAAGTACTATAAATTCTTTTCACCTGTTTTCTTCTGTGAATATTTGAAGTGTATTGTGTTGCGCATGTAAGAACTATAATGTGTTTTGCCATTGGTGCATGTATAGTAATATTTTGCTGTGTGTCTATCAGTAAACCAACTTTATTATTGGTTGTTCATGGTCTCCTTTTGAAAAGCTTCAGGGCTAATGAGAGAAACAGTGGGGTTTCTACAATACTCAGGACAAAGGTAGTGTTGACAGGTTGCACTGTCCTGTTTTGCTGTTGCCTGTGGCCACCAAGATTCATTTTCTTGGCTTCCAGACTTCCACTTGATGGCACTGCCTGTTCAGGAAGACTCGCTGTAGGCAGTGTGTAAACGGAGCCCCCACTTACAGAGCACACTTTGCTCCAGGCCTCACTTCCAGAGACTTTTATAGGAATGCAGTTTTGATTTGCAGTTGGAACCTGGGAAAGTGAAGTTTGAATTTTACTGCATAATAAATCTAACTGGACTTAAATTAATTTCCATAGACTCATTATTATAGTGGTCTACTTGGTCCACAGGCGATATGGTTCAGAATGTTCGAGGGATGCTTGAAATCATGGACAGTTCTGCACCCTGTATGTAGTGTACCTCTCCTGTCTATACATTCCTAGGATAAAGTTCATTTATACCTTAGGGATGTGGAGAGTATGAGAACAATAATTATTTATTATTAATAAAATAGAACAGATATAACACTACTCTATAATAAAATATGTTAGTTATTTCTGGAATTTTCCATTTAATCCTTTCTGCAGGTAATTGAAACTGCAAAGGGAAAAACTACAGATGAGTGGGGACTCTTGTATCTGAAAAGTTTACATTTATTAAAATATATTTACTAAATGTGTGTAATATATTTTAAATGTTATAATTATTCATTTACCTATCATTCACCAGTGTTTGTAGTATTTATTAGTAGAATATAGTTATTAGTATATTATCCCTTCCACAGTACACTCAAAATCAACAGCAATAATAATTTTATTGTGACTTGATGTGTATTTATGTATGTTTGTCCTGAAGGAGTTCCTCCTATAAGCAATTGGGAACAAATTTAAATTCTGATTTTTATTATTGATATAGCTCAGTGATCTACTCTATATTTTATATAAAAGGTAAATAATTTCATATATCTAGACTTCAGTTTCTGGGTTCACATGAATCTCATGTTCTAAAAGTTTGTTAGTAAAGGATGTAATTCCACTAGATCTTACAGCTCTTTTATGGACTTACCGATACCTTATTTTTCTTCACCCTGAAATAATTGTTTCTGTTCTTTCAGAAAGCTTACTGTAACCTATCAACTTACTGTGCAGCATAATTTGCATATAATGATTGCTAACATTTGCTGACCTCTTGTCACCTTCCAGACCCTGTGCTACATGCCACAAAGAAGCTCTGTCCTCCTTCTGTCTCCTCTACCCTTCTATTCAGCCCTTTCTTCTTCTCCCCTTTTCTTGCGTGAATCTTATTCACATTGATAATATTCTTCCAAAAACAATAACAACGAAGCTCATTTATTTATTGTGTTTACTTTTTGCTATTTGTACAACTACTATATATCATCTATTGCCACCAGTCACAATCCAGTTGGATTTACCTAGTCTGAGGAAAAGCAATGTCTTGGAATGCAGAATATACAAGAATTTTAATGTTAAATACGTGTGAAGTTTTAGACTTTATTTAACTGAGTTTGGGGGATTAATTAATGCTTCATAAAATACCTGATCGACTTTAAATATAAGAAATGATAGTGTTCCGTATTCATTTATTTTTTTTTTTAATTTCTTAATGTGAAAGTTTAGAGCATTAGAATTCAGAAACATGAACATTGAAATAATTGTAAAAGTAAGTGGCTACCAACATCTCACTCAGATATTTCAGTGAATGGTATTTTCTTGATAAATTTTTTACATATTTTCACTTGTTTTAGACATTATAATTCTTTTGGGTTTTATATCCTTGATATTAATAAACTTCAACTTCCAAGTAGATACATGTACTATAATGATTGAAAGCCAGATTAAAAATTATTTAATTACATCAAAATTTCAGTAAAATAACGATCTATCAAGTGAATATAATGAGTTTTACTCACTTCAAATTAGAACTAATTGTAGTACTTGGCAATTAATTATATATAGTTTCAAAAGTGGCTGTTATCTGGTGAATGACATTAGATGCTCATAGACCCTTTTGGCTTAGCAGACAGATTTTAAGTCTCTCAAAACTGAACAACAACAAAAAAATTCTGAAAACTGTTTGACACCTTAGTGATATATACCTAGAATGCTTCATAATGTTTTTTTAAATCACAGAATGCTTTTATTTTATTAATATTTATTTTCAGTTATTGTGGAAATAGGTATTGCAAGTCCCAAATTTTAAAATAGCTATTTTTTGTCTCACATTATAATGATAAAAAATGGTGAAAAGAAAAATTAGATGAAATGGAAAGCATTTTTAAGTTACAGTCCCCCATAGTCACACACTCTATGAATATCACAGTTAGAAACTTGATAGTCTTCCTTGTTTATTTCCTAACATCCATCACTGTTTTTTAGTGCAGGAATATGCACATATTTGGAGTTATATGTTTTGTTTCTTAACTATATTGTGTACATATGTTCCCACTTATATGTATCTACTTTGTTTCAACAAATTTCCATGTATGACTATGGATAATTTAGTTCTAAAATCTCCTGTTGATACATTTAGTATCCATTTTATAAAATTATGAACAAGGCTTCCATGTAAAGCCCAGATGCATAATATTTTGTATACTTCATAAGGCCTGTCTTCACTCACTGCCTAGAAATAATGTTGTTGGATTAAACAGTGTGCATATTTTATAAGTTGTTTTATGATTCTTAATTAATTGTACCACTGAAAGGCTATAATAATTTACTGTGTAGAAACGTTTGCTTACCATACCCTTTCCTTTAATAAGTAGCATCTTTGCCGTTTTATTTTGTTAATTTAATAAATAAAGTCTTGTAAGTAGTGTCCATTTTCATTTCTTAGCTGGTTTCATGTTCTCTAAAAGGCCATGTTAAGCCATCTTTGTCTTTGAACACACAGCATTCTCTATTCTTTTTCCTGTGTTCTCTCTGACTTCCCATCCACAATACTGGGTGGAATATTTTCTAGGGGAGCTAGAACACAGGAAGGCAGTTTGGTGTTCCATTCCTTGGAGTGCTGAATATCCCTAGGTGCAATCTTGACATTGCTCCTCCTCGGCACACATATGTAAAGACTGTTCTAGGAACAGCCTGTCTGACCTCGCCCTTTGTCCTCTGATGACATTGAAGAACAATAACATAAACACTTTTGGCTGTTAGCAACCAAACAACGCAAAGTTGCATAACAGATGTCAAATTTATTAGTACATTTGAGGATTTGTGGAAATTCGTCAAGGTCAGCTGTTTGGAAGAGATGCTTCACCATATTTCAAAATAAGTATACTTCAGAAACAATTGGAAAAAAGTGCTGACCTCAGTTTGGTTTTTCCAAGTGTCAGTCTCTCTTCCTTTTTAAGAAGCCAGGATATTTATTATTGATATTTGTGAATTGTTTTGTTGGTAGCTCAGGGTGACACTGATGAGGGTCATATTCCCCATACCTTTTCTCACCTGGGAGATTATTGGGTTATACTTACGTTGAGTATTAATTGGCAAGAAAACTACAGGTCTTTAAAAAGA